TTACGTTGCTGGCGTGGAGATCTACTCACGAATCACGTGATCAAATCTCCCATAAACAAACAAATAAACGCGAAGCTGAGTTAAGGAAAAACGTTTTTATGTGTATTTTAGCATGCCCAGCGTACCAACCGTGTCACCGTTAACAATGTGTTACCGTGTCCGTTCTCCTTTTTAGTCCGTTGCTACACATAAAAAACGTGGTTTTTTAAAAAGTTTTTTTTAAGTATTTTATTTTCTCCTTTTTAGTCCGTTGCTACACATGAAAAACGTGGTTTTTAAAAAAGTGTTTATAAATACACGGACTAAAAATCTTGAGCGACCAGGATTCGAACCTGGGTTGTCGCGGCCACAACGCGAAGTACTAACCACTATACGATCACGGCCAGCGCGCTCACATCGATTGGGGCCGAAGTAACTGTGTCAATAGGCCTCAAGTCTTGTCGGTATCTTTAGAAATCATGTCCTCAATTTTATGGTCCTTGGGGCGTAATTAAATTAAGCTAATTACGGTCACTAATTGCTAGTTTTTATGATTGCATCTGAAATTGTTAGGCGAAAGTAGCATGCATGCCAAATTTCAGGTCTCTAGAGCAATCAGAAGTGGGCTAATTTTCGATGTCAAAACAGCCAAACAACCAAACAACCAAACGCGAAGCTGAGTTAAGAAAAACGTGTTAAAATCGTACTCAAAATATACTTTTATGCTGTATTTACGTGTGAAAATTACAAAAATGATTGTTATAATGCTTGCCATGTTATTAATTAATAAATTGTATCGTTTGTTCCTATTTTGTAAAAAAAAGGTTTTTTTTGGAAAAAATGTCCTACATTCCTGACGGTACTTATAAGTACCAATATATGTTGGGCCATTAAAAATTTATGAAACGAAATTTCCTTCGACATATGCTTTAAATGTGCCAAAAGCAATATCATAACAGATTGTTTAGAAAAAAACCTCATTCAGAACCTAATTCCGCAAATAAAGGGTTTAGTTGGGATTTAATTTGTTTTAATGTGGGATTTAATTAGTGTCGTTCTCTGGTAACTAGACTCCGCCCCATGCACAGCGCGCGGCAGACGAAGAAATCAATGTATTGATTGCCCTAGACCTGGGCGCACTGTGCGGACATCAATCTAATACACTTGTTGCAGACATCAATGAAATACACTTACAACAACGGACAGAACTTAACAAAATTTACCATGATTACCAAAGCCTAATCAGCGTTTCAGACATTTTTCTAGATCTAATTCGATTGTGAATATATATGTCATTAACACTTATGATGAAACAGTGGCGTAGCCAGGATCGTCTCAAGGGGGAGGGGTTCCAATTTTTACCCGGGGAAAAACTTTCGATTTGCACTCCCCCCCCCTCAAACTTTCGATGTGCACCCCCCTCAAACTTTCGATTTGCACCCCCCTCATACTTTTTCTATATACCGAGGGGTCTATGGGGAGGGGGGGGGGTTATGACCCCCCTAACCCCCCCCCCCCTGCCTACGCCACTGTGATGAAATAATTCTCAAATTAAAAACAAAAATATTTTTATTATATTCACAAATCACAACAACATAAATGTAGAATTCGTTTTCTTACATTGCTTTTTATACTGCAAAAGTGTGACGTCACACCATCCGGACCCCTCCACCTCATCACACAGCCAGAAATTTACGTCCCCCCCCCCACCTCATCACACAGCCACAAATTTACGTCCCCCCCCCTCATCACACAGCCACAAATTTACGTCCCCCCCCCCTCATCACACAGCCACAAATTTACGTCCCCCCCCTTCCACCTCATCACACAGCCACAAATTTACGTCCCCCCCCTCATCACACAGCCACAAATTTACGTCCCCCCCACCTCATCACACAGCCACAAATTTACGCCCCCCCCCCACCTCATCACACAGCCACAAATTTACGCCCCCCCACCTCATCACACAGCCACAAATTTACGCCCCCCCCCCCCACCTCATCACACAGCCACAAATTTACGTCCCCCCCACCTCATCACACAGCCACAAATTTACGTCCCCCCCACCTCATCACACAGCCACAAATTTACGCCCCCCCCCCCCCTACGAGAGTGGCGTCGTTTATCGACGACCTCTAAGATTAACCAATGTGCCAAATTTCGCTCAATCGGACAATGGAAAATGGATTAAATTAATATTCCTAGATTTGCGGAGCCACGCGCTTAGTCAATTAAATACTAGCCTTGAGTTGACAAACTCCGAATAGGCAAAAGTTGTGTAGTGTATTGACTAGACGCCTCCCATCATTATTGATGTCAAGGATAGAAAACTTTTTTGTCTATTTTGCGTTCACAGCGGCCGTACAAATAAAATAATAAAACATTTTACATATTTTAGCAATCAAAGCTTTCATGAAAGAAAGCAAATTAGTTTTATTTTATTTTTATTTCCAGTTCAATTAAAAGCTTGCTATTAGAAAAATTTTAATATTTGTTTTCTTTTCTTTTTAGTGGGTAAAAATCCTATCTACCAATGCTGCAACTAAAATTATTCAAACACCATCAGTAGCTCGCGAAAGATGATTATCCTTCACACACCCCTCCCCGCAGCCACCCATGACGACGTCAAAACGACCCCGACGTATTGGCTCCCGTCATAATACCGCTTGGAACTCTGTCCCCGCGAGCATACAACCGAATCATAGGACGGAACTCATAGATAAAATACCCTAAAAATATGTTTTCCTCCATAAAAACGTTTTAATAAAAAGCTTTTAATTTTAAGTAATAATGCACTAAAAAGTAGAAAATAAATTATACACTACCATTTAATTAACTATAAAGAAAAGCGTGGGTTACTGTAGTATCTATTGGATACCTTTACTAATATTTAGGGAGAGACCCACGCTTTTCTTTATAGTAATTAAAATAATAGTGTATAATTTATTTTCTACTTTTTAATGCATTATTACATAAAAGCTTGTTATTAAAACGTTTTTACAAGCATTTATTTAACTCACTTCCTCTGTCGTCAGTCTGTCTAGATTGAAACGCCCGAGCGAAATTACGGGCACTTCTATCTGAAAGATACGGTTCGTAGTTGGTGCGTAAGTCAAGACATGAAGACAATGCCATTACATGACATTACATTGGACTTAATTGGTTGCTTAATTCCTTTTTTTATGAATTAATTAAAATCTGGACCAAATTACTAGGCAGACTTATCCAATTATTCCGCACTATTACACACGCGTCATCACGTTCATTAGGTGCGCAATGGTTTTTAGCCAAGCAACGCTATTATAAATTAAAAAAAAATTAAATTACCGAAAAAAAATAATCATAAAAAAACGTTTTAATAACAAGCTTTTATGTACTAATGCACTAAAAAGTAGTGTGTGTGTGTGGGGGGGGGGGGCATCTTGTATTGTACAGTTCTACTGGGTACCAATCAGTGACGTCACTGGGTCGGTGCCAATTTGTGACGTCATTTTTCGGGTCCAATCGAAGATGAAACGTGACATGACGTTCTACTAATCCCAAGGGCTGCTGGGACTAGGAAACTACATGATGTAAACAGCATTGGGGGCTAATTGGTAGATAATAGCGCTGTATCATGCTGTGCTGTTTAGAATAAGGGACAACAGGAGAGCATGTTAAAGCCAACCATAAATGACGTTCTTGTCCCCCTCCCCTCCTTTCATGCGCTAAGAACAAGTTAGTTGTTGATGCAATGTCGTGTTTGGCTATATTTAAACCGTAATACTTGTGCAGACATTTTGCCGTTAATGAAGTCATGACTAACCCGAGCGTACGTTACACAATTTGGTCATTCGATAGTTGAGTTTAATTAAACTCGAATGTAGCTTCGTCTCAACGCTTGCAAGGACGCCGTAAAAATATAAAAATGAGAAGCTAATTTGAAGCCAATGCCACAGTAAAAACACATTAGAGCAGTACATATTTGAAGCCCCTACATTGATGACACTGTCAGATGGTATCAAGTAAAACGTGAACATGCTTGTTCATTCAAATCATAGAGACTATTATAATATTCCAAGAAAACTGTTTTAGTTTGAATAAGATACAGGGTCGTAGTAAATTAAAAGATTCGCAATCATTCAAGCCGACAACCCCTGTAGAAAAAAAATCAATGATCTCTCCCTAGTTGACCAACTTCCGCCCCACTTTTCTTCCTCTCCCGCACGAAATCAGGCCAATCTCCTTGGCCTTTTGTCCCAGAACAGTGCCTGGTCTGTTGCCTAGTTACTTGTTTGGTCAATTCTATGGCCACCATCACGCCTTTCTAAGCAGGTGTTGGCGGAACAAGTTTCACCATAAAGCGACTATTCACAAAGGAATTGGACCGTTAGTCTATGCAACAAAACTATTTACATTCATTCATTCATTCACTTACCATTATCGTATTTTGATCATATGATAATTTATTTGATGTGGCGTTCTGAGACGAGTCTAGACTGCTGTAACTGTAGACTCTAGGCCCCAACGATGTAGTACAACTGCAGTGCAATTTTTTTACATTTGAATGCCCTGAAATTAATTGAGACTCTGGCTATACATCATCATCAACTTTTTCTTCCAGCCATAGTTCTATGATTTATAAATATTCTTAATTAAAGAAGAATATAGATATAAATAATAGGTCCTCTCCCCCCCCCCCCCCCACCCAAATATATCTCACTGTGTTTCTCAGCTTGATTTCTTTTTACACATTTCTTGCTCCACTGGGATGTGTCCTATCATCTCCACCTAGATGCACTGGGATTGCCACACAACTATATTAAAAGATTGTAGCCTGATTCCAGTCTCCTTTAGTTCATTATTGGCTTTAAGCACCGTTCCATTTTATTTGAGCTCCGTATATTTAGAAGCGCCCTGTTGAGCACTTTCTCTTGTCCTCTGTATTCCTGCTCTCTGTGCTATTTGTAAGCATTCTTACTATCTTAGACTTGCCTTCACTTATTCTGTGGTATCTTAACAATTGTCTCTTGTATCTGCAGGTGGAGGTGGGGGAGGCTCGGTCAGGCGACAAGGATTTTGTAAATGGTTCAATGTGGCAAAAGGATGGGGTTTTATTACACCAGACGATGGAGGGATTGATGTCTTTGTACACCAGGTAAGTCAAGCTCTTGAGTTCACCTGTTTTTGTGACCTCGGCATATGAATGGATAGTGTGGTCAGCACTATGCACAGCTAGGCTCAGTCTTTACACTCCCTAAAATGAGTCAGGCACTCGTCATAGCAGCATGGGCTCAGGGAGGTTCTACTGATTTGATGAGACTTTTGGATCAGCAGTCCCAACATAGCACCAGGTACTGATTTGATGAGACTTTTGGATCAGCAGTCCCAACATAGCACCAGGTACTGATTTGATGAGACTTTTGGATCAGCAGTCCCAACATAGCACCAGGTACTGATTTGATGAGACTTTTGGATCAGCAGTCCCAACATAGCACCAGGTACTGATTTGATGAGACTTTTGGATCAGCAGTCCCAACATAGCACCAGGTACTGATTTGATGAGACTTTTGGATCAGCAGTCCCAACATAGCACCAGGTACTGATTTGATGAGACTTTTGGATCAGCAGTCCCAACATAGCACCAGGTACTGATTTGATAAGACTTTTGGATCAGCAGTCCCAACATAGCACCAGGTACTCAGAAGATGAGACTTTTGGATCAGCAGTCCCAACATAGCACCAGGTACTGATTTGATGAGACTTTTGGATCAGCAGTCCCAACATAGCACCAGGTACTGATTTGATGAGACTTTTGGATCAGCAGTCCCAACATAGCACCAGGTACTCAGAAGATGAGACTTTTGGATCAGCAGTCCCAACATAGCACCAGGTACTGAGAAGATGAGACTTTTGGATCAGCAGTCCCAACATAGCACCAGGTACTGAGAAGATGAGACTTTTGGATCAGCAGTCCCAACATAGCACCAGGTACTCAGAAGATGAGACTTTTGGATCAGCAGTCCCAACATAGCACCAGGTACTCAGAAGATGAGACTTTTGGATCAGCAGTCCCAACATAGCACCAGGTACTCAGAAGATGAGACTTTTGGATCAGCAGTCCCAAGATAGCACCAGGTACTGAGAAGATGAGACTTTTGGATCAGCAGTCCCAACATAGCACCAGGTACTCAGAAGATGAGACTTTTGGATCAGCAGTCCCAACATAGCACCAGGTACTCAGAAGATGAGACTTTTGGATCAGCAGTCCCAACATAGCACCAGGTACTGATTTGATGAGACTTTTGGATCAGCAGTCCCAACATAGCACCAGGTACTGATTTGATGAGACTTTTGGATCAGCAGTCCCAACATAGCACCAGGTACTCAGAAGATGAGACTTTTGGATCAGCAGTCCCAACATAGCACCAGGTACTGAGAAGATGAGACTTTTGGATCAGCAGTCCCAACATAGCACCAGGTACTGAGAAGATGAGACTTTTGGATCAGCAGTCCCAACATAGCACCAGGTACTCAGAAGATGAGACTTTTGGATCAGCAGTCCCAACATAGCACCAGGTACTCAGAAGATGAGACTTTTGGATCAGCAGTCCCAACATAGCACCAGGTACTCAGAAGATGAGACTTTTGGATCAGCAGTCCCAAGATAGCACCAGGTACTGAGAAGATGAGACTTTTGGATCAGCAGTCCCAACATAGCACCAGGTACTCAGAAGATGAGACTTTTGGATCAGCAGTCCCAACATAGCACCAGGTACTCAGAAGATGAGACTTTTGGATCAGCAGTCCCAACATAGCACCAGGTACTGAGAAGATGAGACTTTTGGGTCAGCAGTCCCAACATAGCACCAGGTACTGAGAAGATGAGACTTTTGGATCAGCAGTCCCAACATAGCACCAGGTACTGAGAAGATGAGACTTTTGGATCAGCAGTCCCAAGATAGCACCAGGTACTCTAATCTGAGATACACCATTGTGTCCCAACATTGAGTAATGTAGCTTTGATGTAGGTAGGGGCATGCCATGGCTTACTGAGTTTAATATTCAATTGAGCCACGCTTGTTGTTTACTTCATCAAACTGATAGAATTTTTTTCTTCCTCTTAGACAACTATTTTTAAGAATGGATTCCGCAGTTTGGCAGAAGGTGAGCGGGTTGAGTTTGAAAGCAAGCCTTCTAATCAGGGGATGGAAGCAACCTTTGTATGTGGCATTGGAGGCCAGGAGTGTAAGGGCAGTGAAAGGAGACCCATGTCAAGAAAGAAACCAAGGAAAATACGGTAGGTCTTTACATTTTTTCAGTCCTACAGGTAAATATTGGCACACTTTTTATTTGCCACTACCCATTCTCTCAAATCTCACTTGCCACTATTCTGCCAATATTACACCAATGAATGTGTCAGATTTTACTTGCCACTAGTAGACCCCCAATGAATGTGTCAGATTTTACTTGCCACTAGCAGACCCCCAATGAATGTGTCAGATTTTACTTACCTTTTAGCAGACCCCCAATGAATGTGTCAGATTTTACTTGCCACTAGCAGACCCCCAATGAATGTGCCTACTTTTTATCTTTGTGTTTTTCAGGTGCTACAACTGTGGTGACTTTGCCAACCACATTGCTGCCAAGTGTCCACATGGTCCACTTCCCAAGCGATGCCACCAGTGCAAGTCTACTGAACACTTGATAGCAGACTGTCCTCTTAAAGACTCCACATCTTCCCCTGCAGCAACAGCATCACTCATGCAACGTAGACCACGCAACAACAACAGCAGCACAGAGAATGGATTTAATGGGGGGGATCATGGCTCTATGCCATCCCATGTATGACTTGATCAGCACAGCAATAACCAGGCCTTGACAGCACACCATCAACACACAGACACTCTGGCTTCTTGGCCAAACTTTGTTGCAAGCATTAGGTGCAAATTTCAAGTTAGTTGCAAGCATTAGGTGCAAGTTTCAACTTAGTTGCAAGCATTAGGTGCAAGTTTCAAGTTAGTTGCAAGTATTAGGTGCAAGTTTCAAGTTAGTTGCAAGTATTAGGTGCAAATTTCAACTTAATTGCAAGCATTAGGTGCAAATTTCAAGTTAGTTGCAAGCATTAGGTGCAAGTTTCAAATTAGTTGCAAGCATTAGGTGCAAATTTCAAGTTAGTTGCAAACAGCAAACAATAGTACAAGCCACTGTGTTATGATCTTTGTGTGGCATATTGATCTTTCTGCCACATACAGATCTTTAAATGACTCAGCTATACATACAAACATTAAAATACATTTTATGGAGTTTTAAATTCCCAATTAGCCATTGAGAAAAAAAAATGCATTTGAAAAAGCTGCTCTTGTCCTAGAACTAAGAACTCAGTTGTGTGCTGGTCAGACCAGATGATCCAGCCATGGAAGACAAGTGTGTGTTAGTAGTTTTCATTCAAACATTTTCCACATAGTTTCATATGCCCTAAGTGTGCATGCATACTGTAGAGTGAAGTGCATTTTCAATAGTTTTCTCCCTATGTGTGCGTTGAACATGTAACAAGACAACCTACTCTATAGCTACCTCAGCTTCTGTATAACTTCAGTATTCGACATAGTTTAAAAACTTACATTTGAATTAGGTTGAAATTTTCACCCAAAACAACATTGGCAGTGTAAACATTGGCAGTGTAAACATACAGCTGATTGATCTCTACCTAGATCCAGTTTTTGGATACTTTGGGGGTGTCACTAAATCCGGTTTTTGGATACTTTGGGGGTGTCACTAAATCCAGTTTTTGGATACTTTGGGGGTGTCACTAAATCCAGTTTTTGGATACTTTGGGGGTGTCACTAAATCCAGTTTTTGGATACTTTGGGGGTGTCACTAAATCCAGTTTTTGGGTACTTTGTGGGGGTGTCACCAACTAGTTTGGGATTGAGCTGCTTTTATTTTAGATTGGATGATGAGGACTTGTGTTAACTAGACTCAGGAAATCTCAGCTGTGTGTTTTCACTGACTGACATCTCATGGTCAACGAAACATTTTTTTTGTTGGACATATTAACTCTAATTCTCACTTACCATGTAATAGTTTTCCTGTAGTAACTCACAGTCAAGTTGGTTTTCCAATATATTGTCCCTAGGAGAAAAATGGCTAAGTTAAAAATATGGTGTATGATAGGATATCAAGGACTTAATTTGGTCAGAACTGCCTCATGTTACGCTGTTTTTATTGTTTAAAAGCTTACACATCCACAATTTAGCCAGATGGAGTTGCCATACTCCATTGAAGTGGCAGCTCTCTAGATGTGCAGAAGGCTTGGGTGGAGAAGAAGCAGGGTCTCCACCCAGCTGCCTGTGCGGCAATGTGGTGTCCAGCATTATCTACCTCACCCTCGTGGCAATACGGCCCTGATAGGTTCACACATCCTCATCCACATCTCATACAAGTCCACATCTATTCAACCTTAGACATTTGTACAGCGGACACTGGGATACCCTTGCTGTCATTATAGACATGCTTGCAAAAGACTTTTCAACTGATGTTGATATGTGTGTTGCATGGGTATTTTAATCCATTTATAACCAAAAAAATAAGATTGTCATGAAAATAATCCATTTACAACAAAACATTAATATTGTCATGAAAATAATGATTTCAATTTGTTAGTTAAGACTTCTGTTAAAATAGATGTGGATACTTAGAATGGTCTGCCCCCTTGTTTTTAAATTGTCTTTGTCAAAACTTGCTGTCTCTTGCTTTTATTTTAATACCTTTGTAATTGGTGTCATCTTTCAAACTGTTTCTAAGTGTACATAATTTTTGTTCCAAAGTTTTGGTTGACACTTGAGAAAACATGGGTTAGTCCTAGTCACAAACACTTGAAGGAAGAGCCTTCAACAGCCATTGCCCATTGTGTGGGTGCAATACATGAGCTGATGTGGAGCTTGGTGCCCAGACTAGCGCTGTCTTACAGTATTAGTGGCACTATTTATTCGACTACAACATGACTGAAAGAGCAATCAGTCAGACCTTGTTGTGTGGGTGCAATACATGAGCTGATGTGGAGCTTGGTGCCCAGACTAGCGCTGTCTTACAGTATTAGTGGCACTATTTATTCGACTACAACATGACTGAAAGAGCAATCAGTCAGACCTTGTTGTTGGGGAGAAATTTGATGATGAAAGAGAACAATGTTCATGTTGGAGTTTTAAGACAACTTTTTTTCAAAAGGTGATCACAGGTACTTGCAACTATATCCCAGGTGTTACCTGTTTTTGTTGATTAATTATCCGCTCTTTGTGGCCAATCAATATAGGAGAGAAAAATTTAGCTTTAAACAAAAGGCAGCATCTTTTCATATAAGCTTGGGAGAAATATTCTTTTCAACTCCGGTTTTTACTCATAACTTTATTGCAATCACATGTTTTTACGGTCTAAACTATTTTTTTTACCCTGAAGCATTTTCTTCTCTGTCTGTTGCCTCTAGCACTTTAGAGCATATATTTCTACTCATGTATACTCAGTTGGTGGTGCCTGCCCTAATTCTGTGCAAATCCCCAAAATAAATTAAACCAGATACTTACATGATTTTTAAGAACCTATACAACAGTTTAGAGATAGAAAAAAGGTGAGACACCCACCAAACTTGGCTGTCAAGGTTTTTAGTTGAATATCATTTATATACAGATGTTACAAATATATCATAATTTATATATAGATGTGAGAAATATATCATAATTTATATACAGATACTAAAAAGAAAGTGCCATTTGATTTAGTAGACATTTTTTTATACATTTGTCGCTAAGTTTAATAGTGCATTTCACATTTTTAAAAATTTAGAATCTACCTGAACTGTAAACTTATTATTTCCTGATGTCGCTAAGTTAAATAGAGCATTTAACATTTTTTTAATATAGAATCTACCTGAACTGTAAACTTGTATGGTTTCCTGAAACCCATTTAAGATTGTATGGCTTTCTGATACCCATACAAGATTGTATGGTTTCCTAAGGATGAAAACAGGAGGATTATGGGATATGTTCAATACCTTTTGATTGCATCATCAAGATGCCATGTGGCTGTACAGTTTGATGAATGACATACCACAAAACTTGGATGTTACTTGTTGAAATTCTAACATCTTAACTTTTTTTACCTCCATTTTTATTTTTTAAGCAATTTGCTATATTATACCTCAATATTGTCACGGTGTTCAGCAAACCTATGGCTATATCTTACCCAGTTTTCAGTTTGTGTTTTGAGAAAACTTGTATGGCTCATGAATTTTTACCTCATGCTTTAAAAAAATTGAAACTTGTTTGAGTTCTGCACTTAGTGCAGACGACAGTTGTGTGTTGACCTACCTCACCAGTCAGAATGAATGAGCTTGTCTTGAGTGTTTAAACTTGTTCTCGGTATACCAAATTGTTCTAACACTTTATGCTAGTCGCTTTTTTAAAACAGATTTTTTTGCTGTTGTTCAGCTGGTAAAAACGAGTTAAGTAAAGAGCATATTTCTATGTCTACAAGGTTAAGTCTGTACCTATAGACAACATTTCCTTAAAAAAATTAATGTTGCATAAGCCTGTCTACAAGTAATCATTTACCTTACATCATTTAAACAATAACATTTTAGAATTCAAATAATTTTTTAAAAACTTCAATAAAATATGCATAATATTGACTGTACTAAGGTGTGTGGTTCACAAAAATTTGAAGTGATGTATTTTTCATTTGAAATATTTTCTGCTGAATGACTCTATTTATATTATTTGCATCTGACTTCATAGCTAATGACCAAAGGGAGGGTTCGGATATGTCTTTCACAGGGTTCTAGGGCTTCCTCAAGCACAACACCAGGATATACCCAGATTTTTTTAGAAAAATATGCCAAAGAATTCTCATGGTTAAGGAGTAAAAATTTATTTAAAAAAAAAAAGCAGTTACTAAACTTGTACCAGATGTGCTTGAAAAATAATAGCAGAGCTTATTACTTTATTTTTATACACAGTTATAATATATCCATGGGTAGAATGTTGGTGAACTTTAGACTTCTCTTGTCTATTCTCTAGGTTTCAATGGAAGTTATGTTGGTGAACTTTAGACTTTTCTAGGTCTATCCTCTAGGTTTCACTGGAAGTTATGTTGGTGAACTTTAGACTTTTCTCTTGTCTATTCTCTAGGTTTCAATGGAAGTTATGTTGGTGAACTTTAGACTTTTCTCTTGTCTATTCTCTAGGTTTCAATGGAAGTTCTGAATGTGAAGAAACTTGTTTTGAGTAATTGAATCATGATGTATGTATGTTTCAATGAGTTCACACATGTTTCATCATGCACACTAGCACGGTACATTCAGTTTTTGTTGTATTGCCTGTATTTTTCTCTTTTTTTTATAACACAATGGATGTTGTTAAATTTTGATGTGAGTGATTACATTGATGCAATGTAAGATTGTCTTGTGTTTGAAAAGTATTACAGTATTTTCTTTTCTGATCTGAAGACTTAAGTGTTTTGTTTAAAAAATCCATGTTATGAGCCTCAGTCATATTCTAGTGTACTGGAGATGTTTCTGCTGAAGGTCTTGGTAAAACAGATGTTAAAGGATGCTTTGTTCTTGTTTTGATGTGGCCAGTGTGATCCTGGAAACCAATCTGTGGTCTAAAGCTCAGGGATCTTACAGACTAGATTAGCATTAGCATGCCCACTCAGATCAACTCATTCACATTTCTAATGTACCTCATTTGATTTTTGAATGATTTTATAAATGGTATAAACCATTTTTTTTTCAGGGAATTCATTTTTGACATTATAGAAGTGTATTGTTATAGATGTTTTGCAGTCATGTAACAGCAAACAGATGTGTTTTAACAATAAAATGGATTCGCATGCATTTAATTAGTCTGAAGATGTTACAGTCACTGTTCTTTTATTGATTGACTAGACTTTTATAAGAATTTACAATTGTATGTCTCAAGTTTTTTTTTTAGTGAAACACTCCAAGAAAACTATTAAGCTATCAGAGATCCAGAAACAGAACTAATTTCATTCC